CTAACACACCCCCATAGGCAAAGTGGAGGAGAACACGCAGTCACAAGACCAGTCAAGCAAAGCAAAGCAAGCTCAGGGTGGATCACAAAGTCACCACACAGTCCGAGCACAAGAGTAAGGCCACAAGGCCAGTTCACATACAAGAACATATATATGAAGGTAAACAAGCAAGTGCACGTATAGAAAGAGTACAGTACAAACAAGATCTAGAAGTGAGCAAGTGAGGCCAGGTAGGCACAAGACCTAGCAAAGTACAGAAGCGCTGATGATCACAAGGCGAAAGGGACTTGGTGAATATATCAACAGTGTTGGCCTCAGAGGCCACGTAGGTGAGGCACAGCTGACCACGCTGCTGCAACTCACGAGCCAGGAAGTAGCGGAGAGCAATGTGCTTCGTTTTGTGCTCCACTCCGTGCTCCCGACACAAGGCCAGCATGGCCTTGTTGTCTACGTACAGAATTAGAGGAGAACGAGGCGGCTCTCCAAGGTCAGTCACCAGGTAGGTGAGCCAGCCTATCTCCTGTGCAGCCATGGCCCCTGCGTAGATCTCAGCCTCACAACTCGAGCTGAGAACAGAAGACGAGCGGGTAGACCGCCACGAAACAGAGCCGGAGCCAAGGCTGAAGGTGTAACCCTGTAACAATCGCTGCAGAGCCTGGTCCTCAGCCCAAGAAGCTTCAGCGTGACCTGTGAGGACCACTCGACGTCGCCCTCCAAGCACTAGCCCCATGCCAAACGTACTGCACACCTAGCGCAACACCCTCTTCGCTGCAGCCATGTGCTCTGGTCGGTGTCTCCCAGGAGCAACATAGTGTGCCAAGATGCTAAGAAGGTATGCAAGGCCAGGTCCAGTGCAGGTCATCAGGTACATGAGGCAGCCAACAAGCTCTCGGTACGGGCCACTCGACTCTACGGACTCATCCGAAGGGAGAGCTGAGAGCAAGTGGCGAGTAGACAGAGGAGTGGCCTGAGGCGAGGAGTACGTGAAGCCGAAGTGCTGAAGGACCTGGTGCACCATGTGTGACTGGGTAAAGGTAATGGTGCGCAGTGCTCTGTCCCGGGGGATCTGCAAGCCAAGGTAGCTGCGCAGTTCACCCAGGTCTGTGCACGTGTGTCTCTTCTACAGCTCGGACTTCACGTGGGCGAGTCTAGTACTGTCAGCAGTGGCAAAGACCAAGTCGTCGACGTACACGAGGATGTAGAACGGCGGTAGAGAGGTGTTGCTGCTCAGAAACAGCGATGGGTCGGCTCTAGAAGGAGCAAACCCAAGAGCCGCAAGTGTAGTCGTTAGTGTGTCGTGGCACTGACGGGGCACCTGGCGGAGACCGTAGACTAGCCGTTGGAGGCTCCACTGGGTACCACGAGGAAATGACCCAGTGAAGCCAGGAGGGCGGCGCAGCCAGATCTCCACGTGCAGTCTGCCCTGCAGAAAAGCCGTTCTGAAGTCAAGAGAGTGAAGCTCGTAGTCGCGCTAAGCGGCTATGTGCAGGAGCACCCGAAGGGTGGTCATCTTTGGGATAGGAGAGAAGGTCTGATAGTAGTAAACTCCCTGCCACTGATTGAAGCCTCGAGCCACGTAACGCGCCTTAAACACTACCGGAGAACCCGGCGGCCGCTTCACCCTGAAAATCCACATGCCACTAACGATGTTCGCCCCGGTTGGGGGAACCTCATCAACGTAGATGCCTGTGGACTTCTAAGAAGCCATCTCTGCGTCCATGGCTGACTTCCACTAAGAGGAGTAGGGACCCTCGATCGCCTCAGCGTACGATCGAGGAGTCGGGATGTCTGGTGCATCCGGGTCTCCCTCAAGGGCAATCAGCGGAGACACGAGATGGGGAAAAGCAGCAGCAAAGCACTGGAACTACTCCTGCCTGTCCTCAAGGACGTCTATGCTAAGAGCACACTCACCCCCGACGAACGGAAGATAGACAGACTCAGACTCAGCAACGAGACTGGCAGCATAGTCTAGAGGACGACGAGCAGCAAAGTCGACAAGCTCAGCAACTTGGGTAGACGCAGCACTGGACCCAAAGGAAGTGTCAGTGAAAACAGTAGCAAGGAGACGCGTGACCGAAGGACTAGCAGCACGAAGAGAGTCAGACTCTAGGTCAGCAAGAGTAGGAAGAGAGGAGTCTGGAGGAGACGGCAACAGGACACGAAGAGGAGCAGTGGAAGGACGCAGCGCCATCTGGTGTGTGCCGGGGACCGCAGAAGGACGCGGACGTACAGTACAACCACTAGTGCGAGCAGCACAAACAAGCGACGCAGGACGAGACACAGGCTCACGACGCTCAGCAACACCTCTAATAAAACCAGTGTATGGAGAAGGAGCAGGTAGAGGGAAGGTGGGCTGTAACTATGACTGCGTCTAGACAGGCTGTGGACACTCTAAGGGAGGAGCAGGACCAGGAGAGGGCGGGAGACCAAGAACCTGCTCCAGGAGCAGAACTAAGTACGGCCTCGGCCGCGCAGCGCCCCCAGAACCAGCAAGGACGGCACCAGTACCCGCGGCGGCAGCACCAGCACCAGCAGCACCTCCAGCTCCAACGGCGCCAACTCGAGCACCCTCGAAAGCACAAGCGCCAGCAGTACCGCCAGCGCCAACACCCCCCGCAGCTCGAGCTCCAGTAGCACCAACTCTAGTAGGACCGTTAGCACCAGTAGCCTCAGCAGCACCCCAAGACGCACCAGCACCAGTAGAAACACCAGCCCCAATACCCCCAACAGCTCCAGCTCCAGCAGCACCAGCACCGCCAGGAGCTCAAGTAGAACCAGCTCCAGGAGCCCCTGCGGCACCTCCGGTCTTAGCAGCACGTCTCCAGTGGCGGGCAAACCACTCGGGCAGCTCCTGTGGAGAGTGCGGCTTCCGCCTCGACGAAGCACCGCCGGCAGCCAGACGAGCAGACCCAGCACCCCCAGGCTCCGCACCCCCAGGCTCAGCACCCCTTCGCTCAGCACCACCAGACCCAACACCCCCAGGCCCAGCACCCCCAGTATCAGCACACTTAAGTCCAGCACCCTCAGACTCAGCACCTCCAGACCCAGCACCCGCTGGCTCAGCACCTCTAGCAGCACAAGAGTCAACAGCGACCTTGACAGGCTCGACTGCGTCTACCTGAGATATGCTTGACGGGGCAGGACCCTGAGGGGGGAGGGGGTCTATCGGGGGAGGACCTTGCGCAAGGAAGAGCGGCGGCGGGGGGAGGGGCGCAGTGCGGTAGGGGAAGAGACGGTAGTAAGGCACCAACTCGTCAAAGGTGACATCCTGAGAGGACGGAACCCGCCGCGAGGTGGGGTGGTAAAGCTGCCACCCAGGTGCGACAAGGGGGAAGCCAAGGAAAACGTAGGGAACAGCACGGGGGGACAGCTTGTCCGCACACAAGTCGCGGACAAACGCCCGAGATCCCTAGACCCGAAACGCAGATGCATCACCAACCTTCCCAGTCCACCGCAAGGCGGGGAAGGTATCTGGCAGGGAGACCCGGGGCTGAAGGTTGAGCTGATGCGCGGCGTACTGAACTGCAAACGGCCATAGAAAATGGGGGGCAGCCGCATGCATCATGGACGTACGAGCGACATCTATGACCATGCCAATGCGGCGCTCAGCAATCCCATTTTGCTGTGGAGAGGCTGGAAGCGTGAAGGTTTGGCGGATGCCCTGTGCACGACAGAAGGCTCCTAGACGGGCTCTCCTGGAGCTGGAGACGAGCTGTACGGACCCAGTCGATCAACACCTCAGTGACGTCACCCTTGCTGCGCAAGGGGAAGACTGTGGTGTAATGCAAGTAGTCGTCAACCACCAGCAGTAAGTACCGCTCGCGTCCCTGCCCACTGACGCGGGCGGGGCCCCACACGTCCATGTGGAGAGTCTCTAGTGGAGCCTCTGTTGGAGGAAACTCAGAGGAGTGGGGGGCGGCGCGCTGTCGCCCCTCGACGTAGGGGATGCAGGTAGGGCCAGGCCCAGGAGGTAGGAAAGGGAGAGACCGAGGGAGACCAGAGACTAGGACACGGGAGGCCATGCCTCGGAAATGAGGCAGGGAGGGGTGACCAAGGCGGTGGTGCAAAAGGAGAGTCTGGTGGGTTAGTAGACAACACGAACAGGGAGCACACTCAAGACCAGACCTGGACGCTGTAGCAAACACCTGACTCGACGCAGCTACCTGGGAAGACTTAGCGGCCGGAGGAGACTTAGTAGTAAGGGTGTACAGGCTCGACCCTGGCCGACGAGTGAATGTGGCCAAGTGTCGGCCTATCCGAGCACACGTGTAGTGGGTCACTTGTTGACTCGCAAGAGTGAACTTGTCGACCCCCTATCCTGTAGGTCCGCTCCACTCACAAAGTTCGTAGAGAACGAGGGGAGGTAGAGACCTGACAGATGCTAGAAGGGGCTGCCGGACACGGTGAAACAGTGGAGAAGCTAGCAAGGACAGGACCCCCAGAGGGGTCTGTCAGGGAGACTACAACCGGCCGACTTAGCGGCGTAAGAGTGGTGCGGTCTCGAAAGAAGGAGCGGGACGCACCCTAGTCTAGGGTGAAGGCGTGGAAGGCCTGAGCCGACGTAGTACCAGAGAGAGCAGACTCACCAGCACCTGGGGCAGCAGACGCACTGGCACCTAGGGAAGGAGACGCACTAGCACCTAGAGCAGCAGCCTCACCAGCACCTAGAGCAGCGGCCTCAATGCCCGGGCTAGGCGGTACACAGAGGCAACAGTCACCCGCAAGGAGCATAGATGGCAGCAAGAATAGCATCAAAATCAATATCAAAGATAGCAACCCCGGCCCTAAACAGCTCTCCCCAGCGAGGGATCTCAGAGTCCCTAGGGAACTGGTGACGCCACACGTCCGTCAGGCGGCCGAAGCAGCGCTGGGTGGGGTGCGGGCCCCTGCAGTGCTCACCAGTGCAGTCGCTCGTGCGGAGAACGTAGGTGGAGGGACCTGTACCCCCACCGTCCTGACGCGCAGCGTACCACACACGAAGCTGCTGAGGGGACAGGGTCTCACGGCTGTCTGCTGCTGCAGGTGCGAACCACCACCGAAGCCACTCCTCTGTGCAGAGCCACGACCAGGTCCTCTGCTGTCGCCGCTGCCTCCGCCGCCTCCTCCACCTCCGCCTCCTCCGCCACCTCCGCCGCCTCCGCTCCCTCCGCCACCTCCGGTGCCTCCTCAGCCTCCACTGCTACCGCCGCCGCCGCCACCCCCGCCTCATCTCCCAACACCACCCCCACCCCCTCCGCTGCCTCCACCACCACCTCCACTACCTCCACCAGCCCCTCCAGCTCCCTTGCCCCGCTTGCCCTTGCCGGTGCGGCATCTCCCGCTCAGGGCAAACGCAGCGCTAACGGACTCGAAACCAACAAGGTCGGCTGCAGCAGCAGAGGCAACGGAGGGCAAGAGGGGGAAGGGAGAACACCCCTCAAAGACGAGGGTGCGAGGGTCACCACCAGAGGCTCCTACAGCGACTATGCTCTTCTATGCTGCTAGGAGGGTCTTCTCGAGGAGGTCAACAGTGAGAGTGGTGGGGCAGACTGAGAGGAAGTGGTCCCTGACTACGCGGAGAGAGTCAAGGAGCCGAGTGACTATGTAGTAGAGGGTGATGTACATGGGGGGAGGGGGTTCTTGGCGCTGAACTCAAGAGGAAGCGCAGCGCGGTAGCGAGTGCTACTAGTGCGGAGGTGCGTAATGAGGTTAGCGACTGTGGGAAAGGCAGCAAGGTCAGGGAAGAGGTACGGTAGCATGAGGCGGCTCAGTGCAGCAGTGGTAGGGGAAGAGTACCGTGCAACTACAGCGTCGTACAAGGTCTGAGCACTCTTGTACTAGCTAAAGTTTGCATGCTCAGTGGGTCGATAAGTGGGAACGAACAGCAAGGCTAGCAGCAGCATCGCGTGTGGCGCACTGTGAGCGAATAGTGCTGTCAGCAGTAGCAGGTGGGGCAGGAGAGGCACCAAAGGTGAGATCGAACAGAGAGAGTTCGTCTGCCCTATTGCACTGGAGAAAGAGTTGGAGGTCATCGACCGAGAACTCAAAGTCAACAGCACGGCCCTCAGTATGAAATGTGAGGACACTAGGGGTAGCCATGACTGTAGTAGCCTAGGAGGAAGTGAGCTGACCAGTCCGAGGAAAGAGGGGCCGGGGAGCACCGGTAGGAAGAGCAGCTGCTAGACAGTAGGGCGGCTCGGCGGTAGGGCGGCTCGGCTGCTGGGCGGCTCAGCTGTAGGGCGGCTCGGCTGCTGGGCGGCTCGGCGGCAGGGCGGCTCGGCTGCTCGGCGGCTCGGCTGCTCGGCGTCTCGGCTGCTGGGCAGCTCGGCTGGTGGGCGGCTCGGCTGCTCGGTAGGTGGGCGGCTCGGGTACTGTGCTGCTCGGCGGCTCGGTCGCCGGGCGGCGGAGTGGTGATAGGGCCGCTAGGGGAGGGCGACGGGGCTGTGGGTGACGGCAACAGGGCCGTAGGTGTTGGTGCAACCCTACGGTTTGCACTCGGCTTGTTGTCCGTGTGCGTGCATGTGTGTGTGTATGGAATGGTATGAGGGCATGGGATAATATCTATTTCATGCTGATAATTGTGTGTGAATGTTGAGTCATGAGGTCGAGTGTGTGTGTCGAGTCAATAGCGAGTTATCGCTAGACGCGCGTTACGCGGTCGTTTGTGTCTCGCGCGCGGTTTCTATTTTGTCCTGTGTCAAACGTTCGGCGTGTCGCAGGTGTGTGCAGAAGACCCATCAAGAACTCAAGGATGAGTTTGTGATGAAGAGACCCAGCCTTTGGTGTCAAGCCTCAAGTGATTTCGAAGCTCGCCAAAAGGGTGCACCTCAAGATATTGAAGATAGCTACATTACTTCGTGTAGTGTAACATTTCACTTGGTGTAGGCCCTAGTGAAGGGTAGTTACGAGACCCTTCGTGGTTGGGGACAGTGTGGCACAGTTCCACATCACTGTACCTCGGCTCTTGGGGTTTGTAGGAGCTGGGAGTCATTCCCAACTCGTAACTCTTCCTAACTCTTTCTATCTTGTGTTCTAAGACTATGTTGCTGCCATAGTGCCGTTCGTTCAAACCAACGCTGTGTCGTCAATTCTTAATGAAAGCGTGCGATTTAAATTGCCTTTTTTAGGCGACATCAAGGCACTCTAGATCCAAGTTGAATGAAAGCATTTAGAGTTGTGAGCAGATCGCTATGAACGTTTGAAGACGCTGCGCAGAAATCCGACTGTGCACTCTATCTTTCGTATTAGGCACATTGGAGCCTACTGTGACTATAACAGTAGGTGGCGGCGGCGACGGAGCCAAAGGTGGCGGCGGGGCCGCAGGTGGCAGCGAGGCCGCAGGTGGCGGCGGTATGGCCGTAGGTGGCGGCGACGTGGCCGCAGGTGGCGGCGACTAGGTCGCAGAGGGGCCTAGACAGGGTCGAGCGGGGCCTAGGCGGGGCCGAAATGTGAGAACATTATAGCTTATACATTTGTGTAGGCTGTAGTGGGGTAGCGCATAAGGGGTACAACCCAATTAGGGTTAGTACTTGTACCCAACTCTTTCATAGTTCATTCATTCTCCTTTCTCATCATGGTATCGAGCAGGTTCCCGGGTGGGAATGCTGCCTAGGGCCCACCACGATTATTTTTTCCGTGCCCGGAGCGCGCTTCACTCCTACCCGAGTAGCGCTTCGTGTGCCTTACCTACCCTCGAGCCGCCCTTAGTGGCCGCCCTTACGGACCCTCGCGCCGCCTTCTACGGCCCCTCGCGCCGCCCTTACGGCCCCTTACGGCCCCGCCTAGGCCTCTTTGCGGCCCCGTCTGGCCCCTTACGGCCCCGCCTAGGCCCCTTACGGCCCCTTCGCAGCCTCGCCTAGGCCCCTCCGCGGCCCCGTCTGGCCCCTTACAGCCCCACCTAGGCCCCTTACGGCCCCTCCGCGGCCCCGCTTAGGCCCCTTCGCGGCCCCGTCAGGCCCCTTACGGCCCCTTACGGCCCCGTTCACGGCCCCGTCTAGGCCCCTTGCGGCTCTGCCTAGGCCCCTCTGCGGCCCCGTCTGGCCCCTTACGCCCTCTTACGGCCTCGCCTAGGCTCCTTACGGCCCCTTGCGGCTTCATATAGGCCCCTCCTATGGCCCCGTCTGGCCCCTTTACGGCCCCGTTTAGGACCCTCTGCAGCCCGGTTGCCACATGCGGCCCCGTCGCCACCTGCGGCCCCGCCGCCACTTGCGGCCCCGCCGCCACCTGCGGCCCCGTCGCCACCTGCGGCCCCACCGCCACCTGCGGCCCCGCCGCCCCCTGAGGCCACATTGCCACCTGTGGCCCCGTCGCCACTTGCGGCCCCGTCACCACCTGCGGCCTCGTCGCCACCTGCGACCCTGCCGCCACCTGCGGCCCCGCCGCCACCTACGGCCCCGCCGCCACATGCGGCCCCGTCGCCCTACCCTAGCGGCGGAGCAGCACAGCACCCGAGCCGCCCGCCTACCGAGCAGCCGAGCCGCCCCGCAGCCGAGCCGCCCCGCAGCCGAGCCGCCGAGCAACCGAGCCGCCCAACAGCCAAGCCACCCTGCCACCGAGCCGCCCAGCAGCCGAGCCGCCCTGCCGCCGAGCCGCCCTGCAGCCGAGCCGCCCTGCCACCGAGCCACCGAGCTGCCCTACTGTCTAGTAGCTGCTGTTCCTACCGGTGCTCCCCGGCCCCTCCTTCCTTGGACTGGTGAGCTCACTTCCTCCTAGGCCACTGCAGTCATGGCTACCCCTAGTGTCTTCACTTTTGATGCTGAGGGCCATGCCGTTGACTTTGAGGTCTGGGTCGATGACCTCCAGCTCTTTCTTCAGTGCGAGAGGGCGGACGGCCTCTCCCTGTTTGACCTCACTTCTGGTGCCTCCCCTGCTCCTGCTGCTGATGCTAACGCCACTGTTCGCTCACAGTGGGCCATGCGCGATGCTGCTGCTCGCCTTGCTGTGCACCCCCGCTTACCGACCACTACGCGTGCATACTTTAGCCAGTACAAGAGTGCTCAGACCTTGTACGACGCTGTAGTCGCACCCTACTCTTCCCCTACCACTGCTGCACTGAGCCGCCTCATGCTACCGTACCTCTTCTCTGACCTTGCTGCCTTTCCCACAGTCGCTGAACTCATTACGCACCTCCGCACTAGTGAAACTCGCTACCGCGCTGCACTTTCTGCTCAATTCTGCGCCAAGAACCCCCCCCCAATGTACATCACCCTCTACTACATACTCACCCGGCTCCCTGACTCTCTTCGCGTAGTCAGGGACCACTTCCTCTCAGTCTACCCCACCACTCTCACTGTTGACCTCCTCGAGAAGGCACTCCTAGCGATAGAGAAGAGCATAGTTGGTGTAGGAACTGGTGACCCTCGCACCCCCGTCTTTGAGGGGTGTTCTCTCTCCCCACTCTTGCCCTCTGTTGCCTCTGCTGCTGCGGCCGACATTGTTGGTTTTGAGTCGGTCGGCGCTGCGTCTGCCCCGAGCGGGAGACGCCGCACCGGCAGGGGCAAAGGGGGCAAGGGCGCTGGAGGGGCTTGAGGGGGCGGTGGAGGTGGTGTTGGAGGCAGTGGAGGGAGTGGGGGTGGTGGTGGGAGTGGTGCCAGGGGTGGCGGCGGCGGCGGCAGGAGTGGAGGAGGCGGAGGCGGTGGAGGTGGCGGAGGGAGCGGAGGTGGAGGAGGCGGCAGAGGCGGCGGCAGCGGTGGTGGAGCGGGTCGCGACTCTACGCAGAGGAGTGGCGCCAGTGGTGGTCAGCGCCAGCAGCAGCGGAGTGGCGTGCCCTTGTCCCCTCAGCAGCTTCGTTAAGTGGTACACTGCGCGTCAGCGAGGTGGGGGTTTTGGTCCCTGCGCTTACGCCCTTCGTGACCGAGCTCGTGAGCAGTGCGGAGGCCCGCACATCACCCTGCGCTGCTTAGGTCGCCATTTCCCTGAGGCGTGAGAGATCCCTCGCTGGGGAGATCTGTCTAAGGCCGGGGTTGCTATCTTTGATCTTGACTTTGATGCTATTCTTGCTGCCATGTATCCTGTTGATACTAGTGTTGCTGGCGACACTTACTTGTGTGTACCGCTTGACCCGGGCATTGATGCCGCTGCTCTAGGTACTGGTATGGCTGTTGCTCTAGGTGCTAGTTCGTCTGCTGCCCCACGTGCCTGTGCGTCTGCTGCCCCAGGTGCTGGTGAGTCCGCTCTCTCAAGTACTACGTCGGCTCAGGCCTTCCACACCTTCACCCTGGACTCGAGTGCGTCCCGCTCCTTCTTTCGAGACCGCACCACTCTTACGCCGCTCACTCGGCCAGTTGCGGTCTCCTTGGCAGACCCGTCTGGGAGTCCTGTCCTTGCGAGCTTCTCCACTGTCCTACCGTCCCTGGCAGCCCCCTCTGGCACCCTATCTGGTCTCTACCTCCCCTCGTTCTCTACGAACTTTGTGAGTGGAGCGGACCTACAGGATAGGGGGGTCGACGAGTTCACTCCTGCGAGTCAGCGAGTGACCCACTACACGTGTGCTCGGACAGGCCGACACTTGGCCACATTCACTCGTCGGCCAGGGTCGAGCCTGTACACCCTTACTACTAAGTCTCCTCCGGCTGCTAAGTCTTCCCAGGTAGCTGCGTTGAGTGAGGTGTTTGCTGCAGCGTGCAGGTCTGGTCCTGAGTCTACCCCCTGCTCGTGTCGTCTCCTGTCCCACCAGACTCTCCTTTGGCACCACCGCCTTGGTCACCCCTCCTTGCCTCGTCTCCGAGGCATAGCCTCCCGTGTCCTAGTCTCTGGTCTCCCTCGGTCTCTCCCTCCCCTTCCTCCGAGGCCTGGCCCTAACTGCGTCCTGTGCGTCGAGGAGCGACAGCGCGGCGCCCTTCACTCCTCCGAGTTTCCTCCGACAGAGGCTCCGCTGCAAACTCTCCACATGGACGTGTGGGGCCCAGCCTGCGTTAGTGGGCACGGGCGAGAGCGGTACTTTCTGCTGGTGATTGACGACTACTCGCGTTACACCACAGTCTTCCCCTTACGCATCAAGGGTGAAGTCGCTGAGGTGTTGATCGACTGGATCCGCGCAGCTGGTTTGTAGCTGAGAGAGAGTCATTGTCTGATTGACGAACCATTTGCTTCCTCACCCGGAGTCTGACTCCATTCGTGCTGCTAGTCCCTCGGTCACGCGCCTTCTTGCCACTGTTGTCAGTGACCCTTCCTTTGAGTCTATTGCTGCATCTGCTATAGTTTCCGAGCTTGTCGACTTCGCTGCTCGCTCTCGTCTACACTACGCTGCCACTCTTGTTGCCGAGTCTGAGTCTGTCTGTCCTCCGTTCGTCGGGGGTGAGTGTGCTCTTAGCACAGACGTCCTTAAGGACAGGCATGAGGAGTTCTAGTGCTTTGCTGCTGCTTTGCCCCATCTTGTGTCCACGCTGATTGCCCTTGAGGGAGACCCGGATGCACCAGACATCCCGACTCCTCGATCGTACGCTGAGGCGATCGAGGGTCCCTACTCCTCTCAGTGGCAGTCCGCCATGGACGCAGAGATGGCTTCTTGGAAGTCCACAGGCACCTACGTCGACGAGGTTCCCCCACCTGGGGCGAACATTGTTAGTGGCATGTGGATTTTCAGGGTGAAGCGGCCGCCGGGTTCTCCGCCTGTCTTCAAGGCACGTTACGTGGCTCGAGGCTTCAGTCAGCGGCAGGGAGTTGACTACTTTCAGACCTTCTCTCCCACCCCGAAGATGACCACTCTTTGGGTGCTGCTGGACATAGCTGCTCAACGCGACTACGAGCTTCACTCTCTTGACTTCAGCACAGCTTTCCTGCGAGGCAGCTTGCACGAGGAGATCTGGCTGCGCCGCCCTCGTGGCTTCACTGGGTCGTTTCCTCCTGGTACCTAGTGGAGCCTCCGACGGCCAGTCTACGGTCTCCGCCAGGCACCCCGTGAGTGGCACGAAACACCGAAGACTACACTTGCGGCTCTTGGGTTTGCTCCTTCTACTGCTGACCCGTCGCTGTTTCTGCGCACCGACACTCTCTACCGCCGTTCTACATCCTCGTGTACGTCGACGACTTGGTCCTTGCCACTGCTGACACTGCTGGACTCGCCCACGTGAAGTCCGAGCTGCAGAAGAGACACACGTGCACAGACCTGGGTGAACTGCGCAGCTTCCTTCGCTTGCAGATCACTCGGGACAGAGCACAGCGCACCATTACCCTGACTCAGTCACACATGGTGCAGCAGGTCCTTCAGCACTTCGGCTTCACGTACTCCTCGCCTTAGGCCACTCCTCTGTCTACTTGCCACTCGCTCTCAGCTCTGCCTTCGGATGAGTCCGTAGAGTCGAGTGGCCCGTACCGAGAGCTTGTTGGCTGCCTCATGTACCTGATGACCTGCACACGATCTGACCTTGCATACCCTCTTAGCATCTTGGCACGCTATGTTGCTCCTGGGAGACACAGACTAGAGCACATGGCTGCAGCGAAGAGGGTGTTGCGCTACGTGTGCAGTACGTCTGGCATGGGGCTAGTGCTTGGAGGGCGACATCGAGTGGTCCTCACAGGTCACGCTGACGCTTCTTGGGCTGATGACTAGGCTCTGCAGCGGTCGTCACAGGGTTACACCTTCAGCCTTGGCTCCGGCTTTGTTTCGTGGCGGTCTACCCGCTCGTCTTCTGTTCTCAGCTCCAGCTGTGAGGCTGAGATCTACGCATGAGCCATGGCTGCACAGGAGCTACGCTGGCTCACCTACCTACTGACTGACCTAGGAGAGCAGCCTCGTTCTCCTCCAGTTCTGTACGTAGACAACAAGGCCATGCTGGCCTTGTGTCGAGAGCACAGACTGGAGCACAAAACGAAGCACATTGCTCTCCGCTACTTCCTGGCTCGTGAGCTGCAGCAGCGTGGTCAGCTCCGCCCCACCTACGTGGCCTCTGAGGCCAACACTTCTGATATCTTCACCAAGGCCCTTCCGCCTTGTGATCATCAGCGCTTCTTTGCTTTGGTAGGTCTTGTGCCTACCTGGCCTCACTTGCTCACTTCTTGATCTTGTTTGTACTGTACTCTTTCTATACCTGCACTTGCTTGTTTACCTTTATAAATATGACCTCGCATGTGAACTGGCCTTGTGGCCTTACTCTTGTGCTCGAACTGTGTGGTGACTTTGTGATCCACCCTGAGCTTGCTTTGCTTTTCTTTGCTTGACTGGTCTTGTGACCACTTGTTCTCCCCCAATTTGCCTATGGGTGTGTGTCAGAATATTATAGCTTATACATTTGTGTAGGCTGTAGTGGGGTAGCCCATAAGGGGTACAACCCAATTAGGGTTAGTACTTGTACCCAACTCTTTCATAGTTCATTTATTCTCGTTTCTCATCATGAAAGGGGCCTAGCCGGGGCCGAAAGGGGCCTAGACGGTGCCGAAAGGGGCCCTAGATAGGGCTGTGGAGGGGCCTAGACGTGGCTGCGGAGGGGCCTAGACGGGGCCGCAAGGGGCTTGGACAGGGCAGCAGAAGGGCCTAAACGGGGCCTTAAGGGGCCTAGACGGGGCCGCGGAGGGTCCTAGATGGGGCCGCAAGGGGCCTAGACGTGTTCGCGGAGGAGACGTAAGAGGCCTAGGCAGGGCCGTAAGGGGCCGTAAGGGCGGCGCAAGGGGCCTTAGAGGGCGGCGAGAGGGGCCTTTTGGGGCTGTAAGGGGGCGTAAGGGTGGCGCGAGGGGCCTTAGAGGGCGGTGAGAGGGGCCTTAGGGGGCCATAAGGGGCCGTAAGGGCGGCGTGAGGGGCCTTAGAGGACGGCGCGAGGGGCCGTAAGGGCGGTCAAAGGGGCCGTGAGAGGGGCCACTTAAGGCGGCTCGAGGGTAGGTAGGGCACACGAAGTGCGACTCGGGCAAGAGTGAAGCGCGTTTCGGGCAGGGAAAAAAAAATAGTGGTGGGCCCTAGGTAGCATTCCCACTAGGGAACCTGCTCGATACCATGACGAGAAACGAGAATGAATAAACAATGAAAGAGTTGGGTACAAGTGCTAACCCTAATTGGGTTGTACCCTTTATGGGCTACCCCACTACAACCTACACAAATGCATAAGCTATAATGTTCTGACACAAGGGTCCTCCCACTACAACAAGTCTTCTGCTACCAAACTCTAGCAGACTTATCCTATCCAAGGGTCATTATTCGATCAGTACGTAACATATTTTGAAGGGTGGTGATGTTCTTCGGGTACCATACATTTTGTGTGCACACTGATCATGGAAGTCCCTTGTCTTATATGTGCCAAATGCTATACATAAGCATTTAAAACACATCCAATCTAGATGTCGTACCTCAACAAGTGTTGCGAGTGCAATGGAGCGAGCGAGCGAGAATTGCACTATTGAAGCAAAACAGTACAATGAGCGAAGGCATAAGTGAACTATATATCGCGACGCTAGCGTGGTAACGGTAACGCGAGAAAATGGAGTGCGCTACGGGCCTAGCGCCGAGGTTGGGAAATGTCGAGGCGGAGGTATGGAGCACGGGTTACCAACCGAACCGTGGGGTTGGGTCGCGTCGTGAACAGTGGCGGGATCATTAATTGCGGAGAGTGTCGCGAGTGGGTAACGTTTCACTGCTGGGTGCTGTTGGCGGAAACAGTCATGTACCCGGTAAGCAAGGACGCGAAATAAGGAAAATGAATTTTCCTTTCACTACCCACCTCCCCAAGGAGGCTCCTCTTACGAGAGTGCGTGGACATCACGGAAGTTGCGGCTGCGGAGATTCTCAGTGAGGACGGGGTGGTTTTAAGTTCTATTCAGGGGCACCCTATCGTCCTTCGTGGGCGTGCGGTCTTTCCAGCGAATCAGGAACTCGATCCTGCGAGCTCTACATGGGTCACGAACTTGGTGGCTCAGTATTTTTTCGGACGTGATCATTGGCTCCGTCAGTGGTCGTGTGAAGCTCACGGGGTGGTTGCGAGGTAGGTGGCTGGTGGATGGGACATACGGGCGAAGGTGACTGACGTGGAACGACGGGCTGACTTACCATACAGCAAGGAGGAGGAGGTGGGAGGTGATGGGGGTGATCATGTGGGTGATGCGAAATGACTTGCAATATAGGGGGCAGAGTTTCAGAGTGATGGGTATGCGGAGGTTTTGAGTGTCGAGTAATACCAGGTCGTCGGGTTGGTAAGTGACGGGGCGGCGGTGGCGATCGGCGTTGCGTTTAGCGATGATGTTGGATTTCTTAATTGCATCTACTGCGTGGGTCCGCGCTGCCTGCAAAATCACTGCGAACTATTGTGCACGTGGTACAGGGTTTTCAGAATTCGGCGTCATGGGTATTGTGGGGTTTTGTCCTTAGTTGAGGTAGAAAGGTGACTGTTGTGTCGTTGCTGACGTGGAGTTGTTATACGCGAACTCTAAGAGTGGCAGCTGCTGTTCCCAATGTCAGAACTATGTTGTAGGTTGTAGTGGGGCACTCCTTATGGGGTACAGCCCAATTAGTTTTT